GCAGGAGGTTTCCTTGAGCTAATATGTATTAGGAGGTGGCTCCTTCTGTTTCTTTTCCCTAAAATGCCTGTTAGCCTTTTCTAGGGCTGCCATAATTCTGCTTTTGTTTTTTAAATACATCTTGGTTTTTTTGGATTGTCCAAACCAATACTAGATGTTCACATTGTGAAATTCAGAAACCTGTTTCTGCAGGTGTACTTAGGCCAGAGGCAGTTTGCTCAGCCTCAGCAGCCTGCAAGGGTAGCAAGACCCTTGTTTTCAAGCAGGGATGCACACAAGGGGCTGCTCTCTGGTCCCCAATTCCCTCACCCTGTCCTCCTGCCCCATTCACCCTTAGAAACCTGCATGGATCATTGCACCCTCACCATCAATGAATCTCTGCTACGGCTCAGCGTTTTCCTTGTGTAGATTCAAATACAAGAGCTGTAGACTATGGAGAAGGGTTAGGAGAAAACCTGGGCTGAAGTGTGTTATATTATTGCTAGTAAAGCTGCTTGCAAGGCCATGCAAACTAACAACACTTTTTTCTAAGATTTACTATACTAAGTCTTGTAAACTTGAGTAGATGCTGAACAAATTTAAAATTACCTGTTAGAACAAATGTTCGTTTGCTTCTTAAAATAAAGAACGCGGGCTTTACTTCTGTATGTTTCGGGAAGGTTCTTTGGTTGTCCTAAAATAATCTAAAATTTTCCCTCTGTTAAGTTATTTTAAGATTGTTTCACTAATAATTAAACACTTAATTCAGAGGCACTCCAAAAAACCAAGCAAGTTTGTACTTAAGCATATGTATGAGCTATTGTCATACACTGCTGACCTCTGGTTGTAGTCTGCCTAGGTTTTAAAGGAAATTCTGCTGTAGAACCAGTATGAATCCATATGCATTAAGAGAGTAGTACTAATGGCTGCAAGTTTTCCTCTCTGATTCCCTTCCCTAATTATAATTTTCTTTTTTAATGGTTTTAATGGCAAAAACCACATAATGCATACTATGTCTAATCTAGAGGGGCTTAGTGTTTGGTAATACATGGTTTTTACTGATGTAAAATAATTTGAAGATTATGCATGCTCCAGAACCTAGTTATGCTTTCAGTTGCTGATGCTGTGAATTTCAGTATTTTTCTTCCAGTTTGGTCATTCTAGAAATAACATCCAAAGCTGTTTCCCACATCACAACTGAAGAGTTGTCATGTTTACTTAACCAGCTCCATCTGGCTTCCAGTAAGTCCCAAATTTCAGTTTTTCACAGCCGTGCATGAATTCCTGCCATGCCCACAGAACACAGAGAAAATTTCTGCTAGGCCTAGTTTTGTTTGTTGAAAGAAGCGTCTTTTTTGCAGAAGAGGGGATTAAATATTTTTCAGATCATGCCCTACCTAGCAGATTCCTCACTTCTTAGAGGAGAAAATGCAGATCTTCTGGCACGGTCCCACTGCTGTCACCACTGCATGTGGAAAAGGTTTTTCGGTGGTGTATTTTTTGGGCCAGGCTGGAGATGATGAGGTCAATCAGCTGTTGCAGCTGGTGCCAAGCTTTTAGCTGCCATGCTGGTGGACGGTGGGGGCCAGGAAGGTGTGGAGCCAGGCCCTGCCACCGTCTCGCAGCCCCTGGGGAGAGCTGATGCCCATGGCCTCCGGGCAGATTCTTGGGCACACAGGGTTCAGAGCATGGCCTCTGCCGCTCAAATACCAGCGTCCTCGGCCACACAGCCTGCGGTCTGTGCTTGCCTTGTTAATAATCTCCCTGCCACAGTTTAGAGAAGAAGAGTAAAATCTTTCGTGTGGTGTCCTGCAAGTGTGTCACACCGGAGGGGAACTTCTTATCCTCGCCACTGAGAGCTCGTACCAGGGCTGCAAGACAGGAGATGCCACGTACAGCACAGCCTAAATGCAAGTTAAGCAGAAAAAAACGATTTCAAGAGTAGAGAAGTACTGATAACAGAGGAAGTATTTTCCAAGTGTTTGTAATTAAAAACACCCCCCACAACAGTTAACAAGTTGTTGTTAGAAGTTGAATGGAGAAAAGTCACGCGTGCTTCTCCGATTTTAGGAATTCCAGATTTTATTTATCATGCGAGACACAGCCCCCATATAATTTCAAAAATGCAACAAACTCTTTTCCCCCAAGTCTGCCAAATCATCTGATATTTTTAACTTGCTTCTAGTAAGAGCATACCTTGGCCCTCCATTCTACCTGACTGCCTGGCGAGGGGTTGGAGAGGGGCAGGGGATGAGCCGCAGCAGGCAGGGGAATGTGAGGAGCGCCTGAGCGAAATGCAGCGAGCAGCAGCCGTGCTCCCCGGTTGCCTCCCAACCCCTGTGCGTGCAGCGGACCCAGGCACCTCCGTGTGCAAGGTCGTGCTCCAGATCCGAATTGCAGAGATGTGTCAGGGCACTGGCAGCGGGGGGAGGCACATTAGAAAAGGCGTGTTAGACAGGCCCAGGAAGGAAAGGATAGCAGATAGTATTACTGCTGATGAACTGTGTTTTTACTGTTTAATGGTATTTACTACATGTGTGGATTCAGGCTGACAAGAAGACAAACCTGCTCCCCCAGCAGGTAGAGGATGTTGTGCCCCTGGAATATATAGGTGGAGAGGTTTCTCTGTTAGCTTGCTGGTTGGCCTCACTGCAGAAAAGCGTTTCTTCAAGGCGATGTAAAGGGAGTTCTGCCAGTGAACTTCAGTCATGTGTACAGTAGGAAGTGTAATCTGAAAGGAAAGGGAGTTAAGACATTACAAACTGTTGAAGGAACAAGGAATTTAAGCATGGTCATAAAGGGTGTGAAAAATGTCCTATCACATCTTGTGAGAAGATAAAAGCTGTATTGGGCTGATTGGTTTTAGTTATTTAAGTAAACTATCTATGTAACATTTAAGGCAAAGAAGTTACTTTATGGAAAGTTGAGTCCAAGAAAATGAATGGTTTGGTACTCTGTCATTATATGAGTCTGCTTTGGGTGGGTCTGTTTTGGGTGATACTGGTTTGATATTTTGGTTTTGGGTGATATTTTGGTTTTGTAGGATGTGTGTGCTGTAATTAGCTATTTGGAGAAGGAGGACTGTCGATTCTTTTGCTCTGTTTTTCTTCTAGCTCTTAGAAGACTGTGTTAGGTCTACCTGCACGTCTGCAACTTTGAAATAAACTTTTAGATTCTCTAGTACTCGGTAATTGATTTGGGGGTATCTGTAGTGTAAAAGCAGAATGGTGTTTTGGCAAGGTTTTGTGTATTCAGATCTCCTTTTGACATTTCACAAAGATTGGGAAAAGTGATGTTTCACAAAGTCCAGTTTCTTAATTAGGTTATTTTTCATGTGTTTATGTAGGCTTAAATTGATCTGAATAGTTTTCTAGTGCTTTCATTTTTTTCCCACTGCTGTTACATTTATCATTTATTCTCTGAAGGACACCACCTGATTTTTAAGATTGTGAAATAGGCATGTTTTACTAACTTTTGTGAGCTAGAGCCTTTAAAAAATGTTTTTTTTAAAAACAAGATTCATTGCTCTGTGATTTTTTTTAACATGAAAAAGCTTTTATTTTATTCCTTTTCATTCATGTATGTATATGCATGCATATAAATAAATTTAGAATGAGCCTTACACAAATGCTTGTTGTTACTAAATCACTTGTTAAAGTACAAGTCGAGTCTACATTGTCCTCACAGTTCAACTATTTTGTTTTGTTCTTTACACAGGAGCCCTTACCAAAGTAAAGGAGAGTAAGCGGCACGTGGAAGAGGGGAAGATGGAGCTCCAAAAAGCCGAGGGGATTCAAGAACGCTGTAACATTATTTCTTTTGCGACCCTAGCAGAAATTAATCATTTCCACAAAATTCGTGTGAGGGACTTTAAATCACAGATGCAGCATTTCTTGCAACAGCAAATACTCTTTTTTCAAAAAGTGACACAAAAGCTAGAAGAAGCTCTTCACAAGTATGACAGTGTTTAATCTCTGAACTTTGATCTGTGGACTTCCCTCAGCATGAACGTGACCCAGGCAGCAGAGCAAATGCTGCTGAAGAGCTGTTGCCAGTGGTAGACGGTGGTACAAGGATGGTTTTGTGTTCACCTGGAACCCTGGTTTAATCTCCGATTATGTAGAAAGGAAACAGTTATAGGGCTATGTAGTAGAAACAGTACCACGCATTGTAACTAAGTTATACTGTGTATGCCTACACTACCATTGTAACTTTTTTGACATAATGAGTATACTATTTGCCTTATTGCTTTTTGAAATATGGTATTTTAGTGCATACTTTGTAGACCTCAAAACCCATTGGGTCTTTAAGGAAGTTGGTGAGATAAAAGCCTGCTTCAGATGCCTTTTTACTTTCCTAGATTTGGATTTCCTAAATTCAAACGATTCTCTGTTTACAGACTCCTACTAGAGCAGCTATGTGATTCTGTGCCTTTAGACTCTATTTTTCCTTTTCTAGTAAGTCACATTTTTATGATCGAATGAATGAAGGGTTGATGCCTATGACAGGAACTGAGTATGAAACCTCACATTGACTGGAAAAAAATCATCTGCCATCCAGTTTGCACAGCAAGTACTGTCTTACGACAACTGTTGGCTCAAAAAGGAGGACTTAAATCTATTCACACTTTCCCTGAAAATGGAGACTACTTGTTAGCTGTACTAGGATGTTAAGCACATATACAAAAGTACACCACTTAATTCCCTTTCCGAAATGAATAATACAGTGAGGTTTTGGTTTGTTTGGTTTTTTGGTTGTTTTTTGTTTTGTTTTGTTTTTTTTTTAGTATACAGCATTACTGTGAGTTGAAATTCAAAGAGCTAGCCTAATAAAAATGATGTATATCAAGGGGATATAAATGCAAGCTCTGTGGCTGAACATTTTTTTAAGTTTGAAATAATCTTCTCATTGTTCAGTTTAACTTCAGACTTGCATCTACGTTGCTAGTTGTCCGAGTTGAAACTCCACTGTGATTCATTGATTTACTAAGTTACGAATTTTCAGGGATGTTCAGTAATATAAGTTATCTGAAATAAGTCTTTGCTGAACTGACTTGGAAAACAGGTGGCATTTTTATGTTTGTAACACTCAAGAATTAACAATTGTCTTAATTTTTGTATAAATATTTTTGACAAGCAGGGTGCATTTATATATACGTAAACACTATCTTTTAAAGAGTTTTCTCACTTATTTCCCTTGACTTAAGCCTCAAGTCTTTTTCTTACCTATTGGTTTCCTTCATATAGGTCAGTATGAAAGAGGGTTTTTATTTATGCTATCTTTTCTCTCCTAAACAAAAATAACAAAACCTTTCAAGGAAGCAAAATTGTTTACTTTTTTGTTTTTAATTCAACTAGTCAAAGATAGCTTAAACAAATGAAAGCCTGGAAAAGGAAGCTAAGCTACAGTAACATTTTAGTACAAATCATTCCTCACTTATGCAGCAGAAATGTGCAGTTCTTTTGCTCGATCATGTGAGTTTCTGAACCCCACACCTCTCTTCTACAGGAATAAATGCAAGAATGTAGTTTTGGTTTTAAGATTCATCCCCAAATGCTTGGAGGTTGCTATTTTGTGCAAGTTGTGTTTGGCAGTGCTTCCAGTACATACCCAAAGAAGTAAAATACAGAACAATGAAGAGGAAAGAAACAGTATTTGTAAAAGAAAGGACAATCAGTGAGGAAAGACTCAATTTCCAGGCTATTAAAAAAGTGCTGCAAACAACAAGTTTGACCATAAAATAAGGACCATAGACACAGGGCTGACTTGCTCTTTGTCTTCCTCATGGTGTCTTGTTCTACATTCAAAACTCACCGCTTCCCCTAACAGCTCTTCCCAGCAGTACTCCAGCTTCCCCTATGTCATTTAATTATGTGAGATAGTGACGAGCTAGGTTTGAGCTGAGTTCCATGGCTTATGTTTGCTTAAGCCATATACCATTTTATTAAATGTCTTTGCAGTAACTAGATCAGACTACAATCAAATTAATTCTACGTGGAGGTATTAAGACTATTAAGACCTGTTCAGAAATTGATCTTTGTCCAGTTGAAGTATTCTAGGAGGTTAGTATTAATGACATGTGCATGTCCAGGAGGAAATAAAGCTGTGATATGTATACATACAACATTATCAGACAGGTACAGTTTTCCCAAATAAACTGTCATGGCCTTCACCTTACTTTCTCATTTGTGAATTTTTGGGGCGGGGGGAAAGTGAGGGTGCTAACTGGGTGAACTTGATATAACAAAAAAGCTTGTCTGGCATCCTGGATCTGAATTGTTGCAGAGTTTGGGAAGGTTCAAGTCTGCATCTGTATTAGCATCTTCCTTTTTTCCTCACTCATTACAGAGTGAGTTAAACCAATGTAGGGAGCCTGAACTCCATAAATGCTTACTGCACTATGCGAGAACTACAGTTTTAATTTTTTTTGAAACTAGTATGATATTGACCACTCATGACCGATGGACCACTGGATGGTGTGGTCTGAGATCCGAAGGTACTCTACAGTAAAGTGAATGTATAATGTGTGGGACTTCGGAAGCATCAAAGGAAATCTAACAGAATCCTTTTGAATAAATAAATGTGGAGGAAAGCAAATTAGCTCTATAGCATAATGTTAAGTGCTTTTGTTTTATTCCATCCCTGTAATTTGTTTTTGATGCAACACAATTCTTTGCATTCACAAGTAGTAAGTGTCTGGTATACTTTTTGGGGTTAGAGAGGTTGAAAGCTGCAAGGAGATCCACTGAGGTACTGGTTTCTGTTAAAGTGCTGAATCCAATGAAAGCTGTGGAATGAACTCATCAGGGGAATATATCTACTTAGAATCACCGGCAATTGGGGTTTGAATAATGTTTCTATTCAAAGTGTAGGGTTTATATTTAGAAATTAACAACCTTCTAAAATGATTAGATCAGCTTGCTTCTTAGCCCTATTGTTGACTACTACTTGCAGAGAAGACAGTGGCCTCTATTTATGACTTGTGCAGGTTTTCTAGATTACCTTTGCCAGTTTCAGGGCCCAGTGGCATGGTACGCTTGATTTAGAAGTGTTGTAAGACCCAGCTTAGAGAGATCAGTAGGAAAACTATGTGGTGGCAAAACACTCAAGGCAAGCACCAACAAAATCTGAAAAAAAAATTCAAAATGGAAGAATATGTTGTATATAAAATTGATATGTTTTTAGAAAATGTTAATCAACTGCCCACGCTGAAAATACCTACATTATTTGGTGAGGCACAGGTATTTTTCTGGTGAATGATGAGACTCTCTTTGCAGTACCTTATTATTTTGCCAGACCTTTGTTCCAGCTAATATCTTCTGTGCTGGTTGTCTGCTCCAGCCTGAATTCTTCTGGGAAACTTAAATGAAAGTTGTTCAGCTATTTCGCAGAAGGAGATCATAAAAATAAAGGGTTTTTTCTTCTTAAATTCTCTAAACCGTTTGGCTGGAAAGCTTTAGTTCTTTCATACTTTGGAAGAAGGACTTGAAATTTGGCAGACTTGTTACCTTTTGCATCCTGAGATACGCCTGCTGCGCTGCCTGTGAAAATTTGTCCAAATATTTCCAAGTTAAACTAAGGTTTCTCCAAGCCCTACTGTGCTCAAGTTTGACAGATAAATTTTCTGTAGCTCCCTTCTGCTCCAAGCAATCTTGGTTCTAACCTCAGCCCAGCAGCAGCTAAGTGATACTTTTCTCTGTAATTGTTTTTTGCTTCATCCAGAAGGTGCTGAACCCCCCCCCCAAGCCCCAGACCAGAAGCTGTCAGTAGATCCTGGCGTGGCTGGTCTCTGAGCCTGGCTGCGGGAGGAAAGAAGCAGCAGCCTGGAACACGGGTTTGAAGTTGGGCCTGGCAGCTACAGCAAGGTGGAAGTCGGAGATGGTCGGGGAGGAACACATGGGGACAAAGATCAGAAAAGGGCAAGGACAGAAAGCCCTGTGACTACAAAAAGGGCCTGTTTACAAAAAGCCTGTTCCTCCAGTCCCGGATTATACCTTGGGCTTCCAAAGCATCCATGTCCTTTTGCTGTTGCTAAATAGCCATAACGAGCAGGCACACAATGGGTAACTTAAGTTCTTCTGGTGGTGAGGGCAGTAACGTTCTGTTTCTCTCAGAAATTACTTGCTTTGCTCGATGGTCAAAGGTCCGATATGGCAGTTGAAGAGTTTAACTCTGTTGAACTGTAGGTCTGGGGGCTGAAGGAGATGCCGTAATGCAGGCTCTGCGAGCACTGTACAGCTCCACATGTTCTGTTTTTCTCCTGGGGAAGGAAGAGGGAATTGATTTAGGAAGTTAAAACAAAAAAAAACCCTATATTAAAGAATGCTAAGATTGATCACTCAGTAAAAAAAATGGTAGGAAATTCCAGAATTAAAGTTGCCTGTGTAACTAATCTATCAAGGCACATCCCAATACACAGTCTCACGTAACTGTTTTTCTACCACTTCGCTGCCTGGTTCAGTGCACAGGGTATACGCCGGTCTCCTGGTCAACCAAGGGCTTTCAGGGGGGTGTTGCCTATGTAATCCCTACCTCTTTTGCCACACCAGGTGTACTCTGCAGAGTGAAAAATAAAGCCAGTGTGAAGGCTCTCCCTCAGCAGGCAGAGAATTCAGCTCTGTCCCTGCCTGTACCCAAGTTCTACCGTGCAAGATAAGCCACACAAATAACTCATATGAAGGGCCACACAAAGTAATTAAGTAATTTGTATGAAGGGTGTCCTCTCCATTTTGTGTAGGCTTGAGTTTAAACACAAGACTTACTCTGAAGCAAGTGCCAGGCCTTCAGAGTTTTCACTGAAGGTTATGGACCTTCTGCTTTGAATAGAGAAAATGCTATAAAATGCAAAAAGTTCTCTGAAAAAAAAAAATCAGGAATTCATTTCTTTAAGTAGACCACCACAAATTAGAGGATGCTTATAATCTATCAGCTGCAAAAGGGGAATAATAAACCTAGCTCATTTTGCTGGAAA